ATAGTGGGTCAATCATCACGACACTATTGCAGACACAAAAATGAGCTTCAAACACCAAACCCATGTTCTTGCTGAGACAAGAACACTGCCCCGAGAAGAAATTGAATGGAGAAGGTGGGGTGGCCGCGTTAGCTTTAAAAGGCTGCCTCCTCCTCAGCATTTTGCTGGGAAGAGGAGAAGGATTTTAGACCACAGGCTGGCACTGAAGATTGCTAAGGACACTGAGGCATCTCAAATCCCTACCACCTCTTGTCAGCTCCACAGGGATGCTATGGCAGAGTGACCAGAGCCTTGCAGGGCGACAGTAAGTAGCTTATGAGGATGGTAAGGGAGTGGAGGGGTTTTGTGGAAGCATTTTGTTTGCCATGCTGCTGCCTGTGAGGAAGAGTGCAAGGCTTTGGGATTTTTACCTTTTTTGGATTAAATCAAAGGTTCAATACTTTGAGCCAGTGGCTGTGGGTTATAGGTTACACATAGATAACCGATGTTGATCAAAGGACCGTTTTGATGTCTTTCCTTTCCTAATATGTTATGACATGAACTTGGAGTGCTGAGGTATACACACGACTGCAAGGCAGATGTGACAACTTAGTACGAAAGGCTTCCTTGTCAAAGCCTTGTGGGAAGTTACCATGTGTCATGAGTTGTGCCATGATACATGACTTGAGCGTAGTTCCTATTCTAAGTGTTCCCATCAAACTTTCTACCCTCCATCCAGAAGCTACCGATGGTTGGAACTAAGACCATGAGATTCCCTTGTCTTCTCTATTCATCTTCCTTATAGTGTTCTGGCTGCTGTGTTTGTGAATGTCCAGAAAATAGAGAATTACTTAAAGGGATTGCCACGGAGACTAGGCATCTATTCTGATGACTGTGTTACAGAGGCACTGAGAGAGGATTGAGTGTCCTTGGTGTTGGGGACAAGAGTGCTCTCTGTTAAGAAACTGGTGGTGTGCTCAGGTTTGAAGCCAGCACTGCTTATTCACAACCGCTCTCCCCAAATGCTTTTACTTTATTTAAAGGTGATTTATTAAAGGGGGGTACTTTGAAAATGTGCAAGAGTATATCAAAGCATACTTTTATTTCTTTATAGGAAACCTAAATTCATACCAAAATAAGACTCCTACTTCCAGCCAAACAGTGCCTCTGTTGTCTGTACAAGAAAGAAAAAAAACTCAAAAACCAAAAAACAATGGGATTTATCTAGGACCTAGCATTGCATTCTAATACAGAGTCCATAATATATACTAAGTGTAAATTTTGAATAATTTAATTTAAATTTAGTGCTTTTAAAAATTCTGTGTTTTTGCAGTGGTGTGTTAGTCATTTACTTTAAAATTCTGAGCATGTTTAGGACGATTGCGACTGTTTAAAGGGTTTGCCACTTTCTAGCAAACTGCATTTAACATTTCATTGTGTGTGTGTGTGTGTGTATGTGTGTGTGTGTGTGTGTAGGATAGATGTGAGCATGGTGCACACTGTGGTCACATGGAAGTCACAGGATAACTTCCAGGAGCTGATTCTTTCACTATGGGAATCCAGAATCAATCAGATTGGCAGGAGTAGCCTGTCATGATGCCGAGCTAAGCCCAGATACTTGGTCATAGAAAAGTCAAGTTTTGATAAATTTTGGGCAGAAGCATTAGCACTGAGTACATATAGAATGAAGAACAAGAGGAGAACACTGATTTCCAAGCCAGATATGTTGAGAATCAAGATATATTAGGTTTATATGATATTTGATGTTTGGTATACTATCAACAGCCTGAACTTTCATTTTCCTGGAAATCACTGGCTTTAAGCAAAGCAGAGGAATTGAATGTACAGGGCCACCTGAAACTGTCCCACTGAGTAGCTCATCCCACCTCTGTGTTTGTCACAAGTGATGTAACACTGTAATTGTTGACCTTAACAGTGGTCCATAATTGCCAGGGAAGATTCTTTCCACCCTGTTAAGCCAGGCTTGGGGATGTGTGTTTACAAAGTATCCCTCCAAGGCACTGATTTCAATGCCTTGGTGCTTCGTGGTGTAATCTTTAGTGAACAACAACAAAACAATCTGTAGGGATGGTGACTCACTGGTGACAGTAGCACAGGATACCTCTCTGCTGTCACTTCTCCAGTCTCTGCTGTACAGCTTCGATGACTGATGGCATACTATTATCACCTGATGGTTTTGAGCTTACATTGTTTGCTAGAAAATACACTGTCTTTTGTGTAAGGTCTTTCTTAACCTGATGAACCAGCCTGCTTTTATCTTGGGCTTTAAAGCCATCTTATAGTAAAGACAAACTAGATTCATTCCTGTTTATGATAAATTTTTTTTTTTCAAGGATTGGGCTAGGCCCTAGCTGTAACCTTAACTACCAATGGTTCTGTACTTCCTGTTCTAGGAAACAGCAACCATGTCTTTGTTTCAAAGGTTGTTATGACCATGTTATTATAACCACCTTGTAATGACCACTTTGCAACCAGGCCTTTGGTTCAGAAGGTTGTAATGATCAAAGTGTTAAGCTAATGTTGTGCTTCTGTGACCCTCCACTTATTTGCCTGCCAGATCACCATTCACAAACCTCCTGAGCTATCAAAACCTTGTCCTCCCCATATCTACTGCTGACTCTTGAAGCTCACCTTAGGGAGAGACAGCCTGAGTATACAACTAAAGCTCGCCTTAATTAATTTGGCCGTGATTTGGTTCTGTGGTCTTTCTCCTCCCATCCCTAGGATTAACAAACTCTACAGAACAAGCATGAGTCCCATTAACCAATATTAGGCTAAAGGGCCTTGGAGCAGACAGGTCCTCTTTTTGGTATGACTCAGTGCTCCTCAAGAATCCAAACCTTCTGTTTCCTTGGGCACTATTGGAAAATCTTAGTGTGTGTGTGTTCTTCAGTTGACTACTTTAAAAGAGATAATGTCTTTAGATAATATTCTACTGTACTTTCTATAGTTTTCTAATCAGGTAGTAACTAGTGAAATAGCTAGCAGGACAAAATTCAAGAGAGCCTCTCACTGACTACTGAGTGCAGAGAGCTCTTGCTGGTCTCCGTAGAGAGAATTATTAACCAGACATCTCTCAAAGCCAGGACTTCCTAGCAAGATTTAGATGGTTCTCTCTTGAGACTATGCAGAGACATTCATATTCTTTTGACTACCAAAATTCCTTTGTTTATTTTAAATAAAATAAACATTGAGGATAAAAACCCACGTTCAAAACTCTATAACCCACTGTTACCCACTCCTGACTTTCTGAGCTGTATCTTCACAGATCCACTTTCACACTTAAATGCAAAGATGAATGATCACAAAATCAAAATTTATCACTTTTATTTAACAAGCCTATCTCAGAATCAGCCATGTTCTGGCCAACAGCCTGCAACTTGAATGTTTTGCTAAGAATGGACAAAGGGAGTCCCAGGATGGGAGAATCTGTGTGTGCTCTAGAGTCCTCCCTGGGATACAGAGAATTGCCACCTGAGACGTGAAGTGAAGGTGTCATTTCAAATCTCTGTAACACACACTTGAAAATGGTCGTTAAAGGTTAGACCAAATAATGCAATTAGGGGCATTTGGGGGCACAAAACTAGGTAAATTAAAGTCTAAATCTGTTTTTCTCTTTCATCTTGAGCCATTCTCCTATGTATTAAAATACCTGTTTTAGCCATCTACCTTCCTTAAATACAATTTTAAATCTTTTTAAAAAATAATCCCTTGGGAAAGACTTTTTTTTTGTAAACATAAGGTTAAAGGGTTAATTTTAGGTCTTTCATCTATAAAAAATTAAATTGTCTCAGGAAGCTTGATCAGAAATTAATGCAACACCCACCAGTGCTCTGGGGCCTGCTGGGAGCTATGCTATCCCTTCTTATTGATTAGAACATGTGCTTTTTGCTGCTTCTGAATTATTTATGGAGGATCCCCTGGAGTGCTCAGGCATTGTAAAGGCAGAATGGCTAAGGCCTGTGAGCTTGGTGGCTATTGTGACTGACCCTGAAGGCCAGGCCTTCTGGGTCCCTGTTGCAACCACCCTGCAGTTCTGGGGAGACAGAGTTACAGAAGGAATTAGATTGGGCCCAGCAGACTCAAGGGACAAGAGCATTTTGTAACAGATTTTTTCCTATGACTAATCTATAGAGAGTGACTCATAGGGAATGAAGGCACTATATTTAAACTTAAAATAGGTTTTTTGTTTGTTTGTTTTTTGTTTTTTTTTTGCATAGGTAATATGAAAAGGTGAACTGGCCCAGACATATTATTTTCTTTTTTGTTTTGTTGAGTCTAAGAATCCATACCAGTGGACACGCTCCCCCAGAAATACTCACGAACAGTAGATTTGATGTAATAACATAAAGTGTATTGATGATAATACCTGTGTATTAAGAGGTAAGAGAGCCCCGAGCCTCAGCTAAAAGCAGCTTATATACCATTTTTACAGAATTCACAAGGACAGTTAATTAGTTCTTAAACAATAACCATAAAAGATTTCAAACACCATTCCCAGGCCCAGTTTCTAAGTAACTCAAATTTGTACCTTATATCTTACCACAAAGAGGTTTAGCTTAAGTGGCTTCTGTTTACCCAGGTATACTTGTGTTAAGGGCTCATCTCCCAGATAAACTCTTATCTTGTGTCTCTCTTCCTGGAATGTTTGTTTGAGCCTTTGTCATGTGCTTCTCTCAGGATGTGCCTGGGGGTGGGGTGGGGGGCAGCTAATATTTGAGTGTAACCTGAAACTCAGACTTAAGGATCTTTTAATTTTAAGTTCAAACTGAGACTTGAAATTACATTCATACAGTTTCATCCTAGAAGCTAATTATCATGAGGGGAATTGTTTTACTACTAGTATTGTTCATAAATGGTGTGTGGATATGTAGGGATGCGTAACACCTAGAAGACTCAGCTGACGATGGTGTGTGCTGTATCTGTGCTGTTTGTGGATTTTATACCATATACATAGACCATGTATGCGCACTGGGGATAGTAAGAGAGAGGCATCTTACTTTTGTTCAGCCAGTTTTTATTGTGTTAAGGAATGTTTTAAAAGGCGTTTTGTACTTTTTAGAGTACACCAGAGAAGGACATTATGGACATTCGGCGAAGGAGACGATTTTCTTTACAACTCAGCATGGCCACATGATCTCTGAAAGAAATTAGAAGGTGTCCATATTTCAGGATGTGCAGTCGTATACCAAAAGAGTCATCTTGACACGTCAAATTATATATAATTTAAAGCAAGTACCTTAAAGTAGAGAGAAAAAAAAACCCAACTAAACTTATAATCCTCTACATCTGCCTAGGGACTAGCACAGAAACACATGTGCATTTCTAGACAGAACTCTGTCTCACTCTGTGGCTTGAAGGAAAAATCAATTATGAGCTGAGGCTGTGAAGTGGGTGATTAGCTGTGCATCATCTACTTAAGCCGTCTTCAGATCTGGCCACTATATTTAGGTTATTACGGTATCTAAAGGGGAGAAAAACAACCACATACTTTGCAGCAGATAAGCCCAGCGATACTTTAAAAACCCTAATGAACCCTGAAAATTGGAAGTTGTGCACCAGGCATGTAGAAAGGAAAATTGTCTGGAATATGTCCTGAGTTCTGGCAGTATATCTTTGGCAAATAATCATTCATCTTCTGCAGAGGATTTGCTACTTGCAGATACCCACATGCATTCCCTTTGGGGACAATGCATTTTAAAAGACAAACTCATACTGAGAGTGATGTGTGTTAATTCGTGGACTCACTGCAGGCAGGGGAAGTGACCGACTATAGGCTCAAGGTTTCTTTGGAGGTGATGTAGATATTTTGTTTGGAACTCGGTAGCAATGATAGTTACATGATATTGTGCATGTATTAAAACCCATTAAACAGTTCACCTTATACATGGCTTATTATAGTACATGAATTATGGCTCAATTTGCTTAAAAGCTCATTAACCCGAAAAGTTCAATTATCACATTTGCATCCTAGGTTGCCTTTGTCGTAAAAAAAGAAAGTAGTAACAACTATTATTAGGCCTCTGTTTCTTATTTTTTCTGCTCTTGCTGATTGATCTTCACCAATAGCTTATTTCATAGTGATTAAAATATTTGATACATTCTCACTACTCTTAGGAAAGGCTTTGCCCATAGATGGGTAGAATTTGCATTGCATAACTCTAAGGCATTTGGGGTCTTCTGCATGTTTGTTTGTTTTGAAACCCAGGGTGGTCTCACTGTCCTGATGGGATTACAGGCGCCTGTCTGGTACCTTCTCCTCTTGCTTTTTAGGATGGATTCATACTGCTTGCCTCCATAAGTCTAGCTGCATCTTTGGTCCAGCTCAGCACCTGTCAAACTCCTGTCTTTCTGGGTTTACTCAGTCACTTGCTGTTTTGCCTGGGTCCCCTGTGGGTTCAGGCACTCATTTTCTTACTCACTTGGCAACTGTATACCTTACCATATTTGGCCAGTTATTTTTCCATCTGTCTAACTTGCAAAGGCCCACTGGTGGTCATCTCAGCCTCGGCCATGTTCCTCCAGCTCCTTGGTATTCTCAGGGTCCTGCTTATACCTCACCTCTTTGTAGTTTCTCTTTGCCATTGTAGAACCAGTGTTTTATCTCTCAATGGATCCTGTCTAGACCAAATGGGTATTCTACCCCAGAGGCAGGTGGAAGGCAATAAGAGATTCATTCTTCCCTCTTGTCTCTGGGCCCTTCCACTGGGTGTCCAAAGTACTTGGCATGCTTTTAACTTTTAACTCTGAACATGACAAACCTATGCATTCACAGTTCTTAATGATCAGCATGCTAAGAACTGGAGCTTGAGCAGACAAGATGGCTCAGTGGGTAGAGGCACTTGCTCCAAAACATGACAGCCTGAGTTCAACACTTGAGACCCACATGGTAGAGGGAGAGACTGAGTTGTACAAGTTGTCCTCTGACCTACACACATGTATCCTATGGCACGTTCCTTGTGCGCCCTACATAATAAATACATAAATAAAATAAATGTAAAAAATCTTTTCTTTTTCTTAAACTCTCATCCAGATGATTACTGTAATGTGATTGCAGGATACTGATTCCAAACCAAGTGACCTTCAGTCATTTGAGCGCATACTTGTTACATAAATTAGGGTCACTTCCAAAAGCTTACATTATAGGATTTAATTAGATCATATCATACCAAAGAGTCAAAACTATTTGTATTGGCTTCAGTTACCAGGTACCATGTCTGAGTCTCACTACAGAAGGATGTTGAGCTCCGGACCTCTGAGTAGTTCACAGAGAGCGGTTGGGATAGATGTACTTTTCAAAGCCTGAGAAGAAAAGCTTTCAGGTAGATGACGGACCTGCTGTACCTCCTCCACATATCAGAATAGAAGAAAGAGTCACTTCTTGCATTTTCTGAGCATATTTTAATCAATAGTAATTTTCTTGAACTGCAGTTTTAATGTAGTTGCACCTCAACAAAGCTCCTTGACATTTTCTCCAGCCCTGGCTGAGTGATTAGACAGCAGACACTCAGCATATCAGCTACATTTTCTATTCGGTTTAACTATACATGTTTTCTAGGGATTATAATTTTTTGGATTAGTGTAGTATGTAAGCAAGGATTTTTAGCATTCCTTCTAGGCTCCTCCCCACAGTTACCTGGCAATAGCCAGGTATGCCTGACTCAATATAAAAGGGGCTGTTTCCCCCTCCTCTCTCTCCTGCTTCCTTGCTTTCTTCTCTCTTTCCTCTCTGTTCCTTCTCTCCCCATTCCCCTCCTCCCTCTCTCTCCATTTGTTCATGGCAGGCCTCTATTCCCCCTGCACCCCTCTGCCCCGTGTCTACTACTCCCTCAACTCCCCTCCCCATGCTCTAAATAAACTTCCATTCTATACTATACTGGTACATCAGGGGAAAGGATGCCTCAGCATGGGTCCACAGAGGCACCCCCTTCCACCTCACCATACTGTGTCTCTACCAAACATATCCCTGACTTTCTTTTCTTTTTTTTTTTTTTTCTATAAAACACAACAAGGATCTGTTGAAAATAATTATGGCGTGGATGGGTACATAGCTTGCCCTGAGAGCAAGAAGATCTGGATCCAATTGCTGGAGCCTGTGTTAAAAAAGAGACCTGGTACCACTCTTCACTGCCAGAGCTGTAAGAGGGAGACAGGCAGGTCTCTGTTGTTTCCTGGCCAGCAGGCCTGATCTGCTTAGCAAACTTTAGGTCTATGAAAACTCATTTCTAAAAACAAGCTGGACAGTTCTAAAGACTCACACCTGAGGTTGCCATGCAACCTTTAAATACATGTGCATGCATATTCATGTACAGTCTCACCCACATGTAACCGGACATATTTGCATGCATAGAGATCTGTATACACAGACATAGACACAGACAAAAAAGGGACACATGTAGATATCAATTATTTGGTGCATGAATAGAAAATTTAAAATTAGCTTGTAAGATGGAATGTGAGTAACTTTAGTTGCATACTGGTATAGAAAGAAGTGGTAAGATACCTGGTTACATCAATCCTTTGAAAGGCAGAGGGCCCTACTCTTGTTCAAAGATGCTACTTATACTTAAGTATTGTGATGGCCCTTTGAGCCCAAGTCTGTAGTTTCTAAAATGTCCTTTGTTTGGCAGACACAGTTGAAATACTGTTAAAAGCTAAGCATATATGTGCACCTACACATAATTTGCATTTCATTTTCAAACAGTCATACATCCTGAAGTGTACCAGTGTACCTGCTGGGGCAAATAAATTGTGCTAATTTATCTTATAAAAAATTGTGTGTGTATCATTTCAATTTTATCCTAAAATTTAAAATTTTATTAAAGTTTATTTCTAAGTTGTGTAAATGACCTATTTTGTTGAAGCCTGGTTCAACAAGCCCTGTTTTAAACCATGACATGCAGTACAGACTGGATTGTGATTTTTGGAGTTCTGTTTCTTAAAGAAAATTTCCAAGGGCAGGCTACATGTCATTTCTAGAAGAAAAGGTGGGAAATAAAAACATTTTTCTTAATGCAATACAGAGAGTGACAGGAGAGCTGATTTGTTCATGAAGGGAGGAAGGAGAAGGGGTTGTAGAGGAAGATTAAAGTGTCATTTTACTGAAGGCTCTCTGCTATTTCCCCAGGGCTGTCTTGCCTGTGGGAGGAATGGGTTCTTCTGGTCTAAATATAGAACAGCTTTAATTAGTTGATCATGTTTTTTTGGAAGTGTTTTCTGCCTATAGATAGCAGTGGCTTAATTACAGTTTTAAAATGAAAACTAAAGTTAGCTTACGATTTTAATTGTAATAACATACACAGCAGTTCCAATTGCTGGCTTAGCCATGGCTATTATTGAAATGGAAATGTTTTGCCTGATTTCAGTATCAGGTGAGTTCATCCCTCCCTCTTGTTCTTAACGAGTGTGTTAATGAGGGACAGTTTTAATTTCCTTGATTGGTCTTTCTCCTGAGGCTGCTCCCCACTCCCTGTCTCTCAGCCCTCCCCTTCCTCTCCCCCATGCCTCTCAGCCCTCCCCCTCCTCTCCCCATGCCTCTCAGCCCTCCCCCTCCTCTCCCCATGCCTCTCAGCCCTCCCCCTCCTCTCCCCCATGCCTCTCAGCCCTCCCCCTCCTCTCCCCATGCCTCTCAG